TGGCTCAGAAACATTATGAAATCTGTGAGGTGGCTGATAAGTGACAGGGTTGGGATGAGAATCCCAGGGTCCTGTCTACTACAGACATGCTTTCTCCATAACTTTAAATCAACTTTTAAATCATGTATCACAAATGGGAAGAACCAGAGCGTAGAAGTACAAGAGGAGAACTTCATGTGTTAATATTTTCTGAGAGCCTTGTATGTGTGTGTGTATGTTTTAGGCATGCCGGGGGTTGGTTTCATTCATCAGAATTCTTTTGGTTATAAAAGGGAGAGATTGATTAGCTCACTGCACTGACGAGCCTGATGTTTCTGGTGTTAGGAAGAGTTAGGTGCAGGTGCTCAAGTGGTGTTGTCAGGACTCTATCTCAACCTCTTGCTTTGCTGGCCTCTGGGCTGGCTTTGTCGTCATTGGGTCATAGCCCAATGGTGGTTGACAGCTTTAGTTTTACAGGCAACTCAACTAGCCAGACCATGGCAACACAGCACCCCTTGGCCAAGAGTCCCAGAGCTGAGGCTCATGGACACATACTGGGTTATGTGTGCATCTGAAGGTCAGTTACTGGGTCCAGGGTTCAGGATTCTCATCAGTTGGGTGGGTCATGTGAGAGCAAAGGGAACACGTGATTGGAGGGAGGAATCCTGCTACATCTCTCTGTCCTCTGTTCTCTTTTTATATCTGCTTGCCTCTCAGAGTCAGGCTATCCATGGCTGACAGACCATCTGATAGGAATTTAAAATTAGAACAAAGTAGATAGGCTGCAAGTGGGTGGGAGTACGGACAAGAGCAAGGTGACTAATGGCTCGAAGGCTCCCTGTCTGTAGTAAAGATGCACAGAGTGGGTTGAGTTGGTGCTGAGAGTAGAAGAGACTTGGTTGTGTATCAAACTATTAAAAAGGAGTAAACATCTAAAACTCTGCAAACAATTTATAGAGATGCTTATATGCTTTCCAAAACTTGTCATGTAACCAGGCAAACCAAAATCAAATGACTCAAATGTTTCGTGAATGTGGAAAGAATTGTTGAATGGTAATCAGCTCAAAACCTATAATCCTACAATTTAATGTTTTTTTTTTTTCACTTCTTTCTTTGGAGTTTACTATTAAAAAAACTCAAACCAGTAGCGAAAAGAATATACCATTGTGCCTTCTCAGAAACTGGGGTTAGGGATGTTAGAACTTCACGAATAGACTTTTCTTCTTACATCTTCATGCTTGTTACTATTACGGCCATGTCATCTTTCTTATTTTTATTAGTTTACTATCCTGCACCCAACTGCTTAGTATCAGCAAAGCTAAATGGCTTCCCTGCTTAGTTAAGCATAAAACACCGAGAATGTGCCAGTGTGTGTATCTACACACATGCTGGGAGGTTGAGTGTTACAAGGCTAATATCTCACTCAGCATTTTCTGTGGAAGAAAAATATAGCAGTTTATTTGACCTTTTATTTATGGAAATAAAGTAAGGGTTTTAATACTTTTAAAAATTTAGATGTGTGATGTATGGAGAGAAAATTAGATATTCTTAAACTAACAGCTAACAGAGATGAGACTATCTAGATCTTTCTATTTATTTTCATCAGGAATTTTTTTTTTTTGTCTTTTTTCCGTGTCCAGCAACGGATCGCAACCCTCAGTGTTGCCCNATCACCTGTCCTGCTCTTCTTATAGTCCTGCAGTGGCTCCACGTCTCAGGTGCTCAGGCCTACAAAGCCCCCGTGATCACCCTCTGCCCTCCCCCTCACTCATGCTGCTGCAGCCCCCCAGCCCCCCTAGATGTTGCCAGCAGACTTCAGGGCTTTGCTCTGTTTCCTCTGCCTGGAAAGCTGTCCCTGCTGTTACCTGTGTGGCTGCCTCCTTCTCCTCCTACAGACCTTAGTGAAATGTCACCTTCTTCCTGGGACCGTCTCCGGCTACCCTGTCTAAAAGGACACATCCCTGACATTTCACATCCCAATGTCCTGCTTATTTTTCTCCTAGCACATCCCACTAATGCACCACTTATCTGACATACAGATCTCGTGTCTTTTCTGTCTCTCGACTGTGACGTAAGCTTCACGAGGGCAGGAATCATTGACTGTTTTCTTTGCTGCATTGTTCCCACACCTGGAATGGTGCTTGGCATATAGCAGGTGCTCAATAAGTATTTGCTGAATAAGCAAAGGCTTGAATAAAGGAGCATTTGAGGGGGAAATTCTGGAGAATGACTTCCTGGAATACCACTGTTGTTATTCATGGAATCATCATGACATGCTTTTTAAGAGAAACAGGAGAGTAGACCAGAGACCAGAGATGTTAATTTTATATCCAATGCTGAGCACAAGGGAAGAAATGGCATTTTTACTGGGGAAGAAGCGGAGTTTCTAAAGCAAGCTTATGTGAGGCTCAGTAAGTACTCATGGAATTAATGTTGAGTGAGTTAATTTATAAGAGCACTATGCCTAGCAATTTCTTTCAAAATCTGATCAAGATCTATGTGTCTTAGCTTAATCTCCCAGCTCTTCCTCCTTCCTGGTAGCCCTTCCCTGCACCAGATGCTCCAGCAAATGGGGCCATCGCCCCTTCTCTGCATGTGAGATTCCTCCCTTGTCTCTAGATCTGGGGAGCAGGCCTTCTCTCTTTGCTCCCACCCCTCTCTTTCCTCTCCTTCTCTCTCCCTTCTCCCCTTTCTTAAACATTTATTGAACAACTCCCATGAGCCAGGTGATGTGCTAGGTTCTGGGATTATGGAAATGAAGAAGACTTTGCCCTTGTGCCCGAGTTCCATGTGTTCTTGAGTGGGAGACTGTCCCACCATCATAATTGCAGGACAGGTGACAACTGGTCTCACAGGTAGGTATAAAGCTGTAGAGCCCCCAGAATGGGAGAAGGCCCATCTACCTCAAAGAGGAGTACCAAGGCACTGAGCTCAAATGAATAAATGTGCATCAGATGGGCTGGGGGGAAAGAGCAAGAGGGGATGGACATCCTGTGGGTGACAGGGAACCCCTAGGAGTCTTAAGAGAATACTCTTTGCACCATCCTTACAGGTTTGTACAGCCAGGTTGTCTCCCAGGGCCAGCATAGCTGGGGTTTGCAGGATTCATCTCCACCTGGCTGGTTGCCATGCAGCATATTCAAGGTGTAGAGGTCTGATCATTGGCATAAATTGAACCAAAAAAATAGGTTTCTGTTCTAGAATAACTCAGTAAAATTTGTAAATGAAAATTAATAGCTGGCTTATATTAAGATGACATATTTTGCCTTATTACCTTGTTAATCATGACATTTCTGATTGTTATAGACCTTTTTTTTTCACATCTCACGACAAACCTTAGACGATCTTATCAAATAAAGTGAAACCAATATGATGATAACAGTGCTGGGTATTTGCACATACTTATACTTTCTGAAGTTCTTTCCTGTGCTTTATTCTTACTCACTTATCTCTGCAGCCTTGTTAGTTAAGCAGTTACTAGAGTCTGTGATTAGAAATGAGGCAACTGGCTCAGAAACATTATGAAATCTGTGAGGTGGCTGGTAAGTGACAAGGTTAGGATGAGAATCCCAGGGTCCTGTCTACTACACACATGCTTTCTCCATAACTTTAAATCAACTTTTAAATTATGTATCACAAATGGGAAGAACCAGAGCGTAGAAGTACAAGAGGAGAACTTCATGTGTTAATATTTTCTGAGAGCCTTGTATGTGTGTGTGTGTATGTTTTAGGCATGCCGGGGGTTGGTTTCATTCATCAGAATTCTTTCAGCGCCGCCGCGCTTCCCAAGCGGCGCACTATCCAGTGCGCCACCGGGCCGGCCCAGGAATTTTTTTTTTTTCTTTCAAGCTCCTCTGGTAAAAGAAAATTTTCCAGTAGGCTCAAAAATAATGATGCTTGAGAGAATTAAGTATTTAAATACAGATGTGACTCAACAAAAACAGCCATTTCATGCTCAACTAGGAGAACTTTTCAAATTTATACAGAAAGCTACACGTATAGAATCATATTTTAATAAGCTACCCTACATTTTAATTATTTATTTGTGTTAATTTGAAGCTTGTAATTTTTAATTTAATCTACAATAGGGGTTATATGGGTTTTCAAAATAGGTTTCCATATTTCTTGATATTTAGGCTTAAAAAAATAAAAACAGTCAAAGTGATGTAACCATCTCAGTCATTAGCAAGCAGAATATTTAACTGGTGTGACAGTTATTGTCATTATGCTAATAGTAGGATCTCTGTAAGATTAAGCTTAGCTGTTCCAGTCCCCTGAGGAAACAGTAAAATTCAGCTTCATTGTTCTGTAATTAGTGAAAGAGCATATTTAAATACTGAACAAAATCTTAGGATATCTCAGCACCTAGTATGCCAAGGGCATGTGTAAGAAGCTTTTTAATCTCTGGGTGTGGCTTATTTTATAAATATTTTCATAAGCATTTAAGAACTTGACATTTGGCATGACAGCATTGAATAATCATACCCATATGCTTTTCCTTATGAAATACAATGAAAACTTAGGGACAGGGCTAGCTGTTGATCATGTTGTTTGCCTCCTTCATAGGGCAGTCCAGGCTCAACATGATGCTTTTTCCCACAAACATGGGAACAGAAGATTTAGCTTTCTTTTCCCACATTATTTTTCTTTGCTAGTAGCAATATTATTAATGGTGATAATAATAACCATTATGGAGTACTTACTTGTTTCTATTGCCAGGTATGTACATTGTCATTTGATCTTACCCCTACAACCTGTTAAATAGCTGTTGTTGTTGTTACCATTTTACAGGTGAGACCACTGAGGCACAGAGTGGTTAAGTCACTTGCCTCGAGTCACAGAAATAGTAAGTGGGGAGTTTCGGGAACACCAACCAGGGAGTCTGGCTGTGCCCTGTTGAGACCTGGGTTGTAGGGATTGCTTCCAATTTTAGCAGATTCATGGGCTCCAGACTGTCCAAAGTGGGATTCGTGATTCCTCTATTTACTTTCTTTTTCTTTTCTTTTCCCCTTCCTTGTCAGGTCAAGTACAAAAGGGATTTTGAAGAAAGCAAAGGGAGGGGCTTCAGCATTGTTACAGACACTCCCGAACTGCAGAGACTGAAGAAGACGCAGGAACAAATCAGCAATGTAGGTGCACATTTGTTCCATGACGTGGCAGCCCTAACTTGTGTTTCTGGTTGAGAGTGTGAGGCTGGGTGACTTGGAAGTGCATTAGTTGCTGTGATATGCAAGCAGTACTCAGTGTGCTCAATACATATGCCAACTTCATCTGTTCAATCCCTTCCCTCTGATTTTACCAGAGTTATCTATAGCCTAACACTTTGTTATTGTAATATAGTATCTTCTTATTCCATTTTGAATGGTTCTCAGCTTTTGAATTTTTCCAGAATAGGACTTTTACAGTTAAATTAAAAAGCCTGATGGATAATTTGTTGCTATATATAAGCATACAAAGTATACATTTAAGGTTAGGTATCTTGAAAAATCTCACATTTGCTAATTATGTGTATATAAGATTTCATACTTTAGATATTTGTTGAAATCATGTATTACATCTAAGTTATGAAGTAAACATTTATATATGCAGTTGCTTTGGATTTGAAAGCTGCGTCTTGTTCAGTCATATATTTTCCTTGAAAACGAAAATTGAGACAAGCAGAAGTTCAAAACTTATTTGGGTCTGGAAAGTGTTAATTTGATACTTTTTAAAGATAGATAAACAGTTCCTCTTAACTTTTGTAATTCATACCTGTGATTATGTTTCTTGCAAAGAATTATATGAAGTATGTCAAAATGTATTTTTTTTCCCACAAAAAAAACTAGTTCAACATTAGGTATCCAAGAAGAAATATCGATGAAAATCAGCAACTATAAAAGAATGAAAAAATATGCAAAACTCATACTGGTTATCATGAGAAATGTATTTTGTGTATCACTTGTAAAATCACTAAAATTTGTATATTTGGATGTTATAAGTGATGTAGCCTTAATTTCCAGGAAATGTTTAATTAGCAGATGGTTTTAAACTCCCTGATATTTGGTTATCACCATGAGATACCTGTACATATATATGTGTATAAGTGTACAGTGTGTATACACATACACACACATATACTTTGCAGACAGAATTATAGTACATAATTTGAGAGAAAATTTTATTTGTCAAAAGTTCAAAACCAGAATTATTTGATAAATAAGTTAAGCATTTTATTTAGAGATTAGAAAGAGATAGAGTACACAATTTTTTTGTTGTTGTATTCTGTAAGGTTTACCCATTGTTTGCTCTTTAAATGCACATTTCATATTAGTAAAGACTTTTTCCTTTGAAAAGAGTTGAGTTTTAAGGATTTATGACATTTGCCCCTTAGTTTCTCTGCCCCATCCCAACAAACCACTGATCATGAATTCTGAAGTTTACTCCCTCATTTTTCTTCCTCTTCATTCTTTCCTTAAATCAAAAACCTATTTTTGCTTTTAAAAATGCGAATTAGATATATATCCCACCATCAGTTACATTCAGTAATGTTTCTTTCTTTGGATTATTGTTGGAGAATATTTTAAAAAAATAAAAATAATGTTGCCCAAAACAATGTTATACCATAAATCTTCAGCTATCACAGAAATTTATTTCAAAAAGAACTAAGCATGTCTAGTTAAGACATCCACGTGACAGCTAACATCAGGATTGCAGTCCGTTCAAAGGTAAGCCTTTAAATTTATATTCAAATTAAGCCAGTATTTTTATTTAATTAGAAAAGAACTGATCATTTCACCAACCTTTATCATTAGCAGGAATATACATTTTATTCAGTACCAGAGGTCGTTTGCTGATCTGTTCTTAATTATGCAAAAAACCCTTATAACACAGGTATGTATTAATCTATGTTTATCATATACATAGCAATATATACCAAATGCTAGTTAGATTAAGCTTATAATTTAAACAATATTGATTTTTAAAGAAGCATATAATTTAGAAAACATTAAAAAAATTTTTTTGCAATGTTTTGATGTTAGTAAGCCACAGCAATCTTATAAATAGTTCTTTTAGCCATGATGAGGCATATTAATGTTTGGATAGCAGTAAAAAAATATAGACTTCATTATATTACTGTTAGGGACCTACTCCTGAAGAAGGGAGGCTGTTAAATATTCTGAGGTCTGGTGAATTTATTATTCATTTTAAAGACTACAGCTTCATGAACTTTTTCCGTTACCTCACTGGGTTTTCCATATTACTCAAGGATCTTTTTCTGTAAGAAACTTGGGTTGATCTGAAAGTGGTACTTTGACTAGTCCAGTTTTCCATATTACTTTCATCTAAACCCACTGAAAAATATTGGCTAAAACCCAGACAGGTATTTTTGACAGTGGCCTGAACTGTGTCTGTTTTGAGAGTAAAAAAGTGAGAAAGTGTCTAGACTGGAAAGACCCCAGAATCTTCCTACTGGAGATCATGGAATGGAGCTGATTCACCTTGAAAATTATAAGGGATATGAGAGTTGTGAGTTTTGCATTAGAGCTCCAAGTTAATACAGGTTTATGTAGGTGGGTTAACCAAGTCAGCAGTCTTTGCAATCTTTATTTTTCCCTTTGCTTCATTTTTCTTATTTGTTTTCTGTTTATTTTATCTTGTGTGGCTCTTTCTAAATTGCCTTTAATCCCTTTTGGACTAAAGAAAGTATAAAGACATAAAGCAGTGAATTTAATGGTGACTCCTAGGTGTTTTGTATAGTACGTTATGAATGAATGGGCATTTCTGATTGCTTCTGTCTGTGTCAATGTTATGACACTTTTTCAGCCACTCTCATGTTCATTTGTCCGGGATTTAAAATCATTTGGAAATGCCCACTGAGTCTGCGTTTGCTACTGAGGTATAGGATAAAATACATCTGTAAATTTCAAATTGTGTGTAATGAAAGAGGTGAGAGAGTTTCTTTTGGAGTCTGTAATGACAACACATTGAACATGGGAGATTTATTAAATACTGAATTTAAAATTTTTCTACTATGTTACCCACTTAGTATAGTTGTAGAAAGAACATGAAAAGAGTCAGGATTTCAGAATTTACTGAATAGTTGGAAAGAAACAGAAATTGTTTTCTCAAATAAAGAAAAGGGATTTTTTCCCCATGAAATTTGAAAAGATGTCTTCATTTTGTGGAATATACTAATATTCAGATGGAGTTTGGTTGCTTATGAAATCGAGTATTGGGCTTGGGAACAGTTTTTATGGGAAGTCAGGAAATCCAGTCAAACTATTTAATTGAAGATAATGTTTAGAAGTCCAGGTTTTGCTTAAAGTATGCTTCTTCAGCAGAATGCATCCTGACAGACATTGTGGACAGTTGGTGACTTAGGGACTGTGGGCCAGAAAGCCCTGCCCTACAGATTTCACAATTAAGTCACTTAATCGCCCTCCGTCCCCTATCTGTCCCCAAATTCTAGGGCATAAATTTAGAAATGGCAGAAATACTCTTGTACATCTCTGCGTTTTCTTTATTTAATATTATTTTAGGAAAATGTTCTTAAAGGACAGTGTACAAATATGAACTGAGGAATACTGTGCCCTTGGGCATTTTAAGAAAAAACTTTATCTCTTGTCATTATAGCTCTATCTTGTGCGGGTAATTCTGAAGGCTCTTTCTAATTTCAGGTGGTTACCCCCTTCGAGTTCAGGGTACCTGCAGTAGGATTGCAAAGCAGTCATTGCCAGACATCTGCGGGCTCAGTCTAGCCTTGAGGTTATTGATGTTTACACACTCACATAAGCTGTACTTTCAATTAGCCGAGATAGTCTGGGGATAAGTCGTGAAATAAAATGGTAAAGTCAAACCCCTAGAGACTTTTATAGACTTTGTGCTGTAGATAAAAACTAGATGTTTATTTTCTAATTTATTTCAGAGGGAAGAGAAATATCATGTGAAGGGGAAAGAAAAAAAAAAGTGGATGACAAAATCATATATTTTACAGACTGACTGAAATAGTAAGTGAGCCATTGTTTGATGTGTCAGGGTTTGTGCCTGTCCTTGATACACAGAAGAAATAGTTTTGTGTGTCTGTGTGTGTGTCTCTGTGTCCTCCTGTCTGTGTTGGCTTCAGTGGGGGTCTCTAAAACCCCCTTTTCTGAGATCACTGGCCTACAGACAATTGCATAGAAGACAGACCTGCTCTGTGTTCTTAGTCTTATCCTGTTGATGTCTATAATTTTGCTTATCTATTCTGCTTCCTAAATACCATTTTTTGCTACTATTTTCAATTTAGCATACCCATTCAGAGGAATTGCTTGCTTGCTTTACAAGAAAAGCTAAGATTGAAGACCTTTTATGCCTAATTTTTTTTTGGGGGGGGGGTCTGAGCAACTGGCTGGTACAGGAATTGAACCCTGGACATTGGTGTTATCAGCACCACGCTCTAACCAACTGAGCTAACCAGCCAGTCCAAAGCTGTTTTTATAAACATTATAGAAAAAACTCTCTCTGTAATTTGATATTGAAATGTAATTACTTTTAGCTTTTTGGATATAGCTACATAATTTTTCATTGACTTCTTAGAATGCAAAATAAATTATATGCCCACTAATCAGCTCATGTGGATACTGCTGATTTAGTTCTCCGAGATTTTGTGAGATAGCTTCAACAATATTAGATTATCGGAACTAAACATTGCCTAATAATTGAATGGCAGTGTCTATGGACTATTAAAAGATTTGACTCAAAGTTAGGTTGAGTGTAAGGGTGAGCATGAGGGTAGGAATGATTATCTAGGGATTTAGTCTGTGTTTGTAATTTAAATAAATCATTTTGACAGAGACTGACTGTAACCATGTTCAGGCTGCTGACAGTGTGAAATTGAGTTGTATGGTGGACAGAAGACAGGCAGTCAAGAGAAATCCCCAAAGGCGAAATTTGTTATGTAATTGGGTCAACTCATGCGTGAGAGATGCATGCTAATTGTAAACTGGTGGCAAAATTATCCTGTGTGAGGCAATTAGGTCTTATATGAATCTGAGCAACTGACATAGAAGGATTTTTCTTTCTTTTTATGTTCAGCAAACATAAAAAAAAATTTTTTTTAAAGGTGTGAAAGGTAAAAATTAGAAAGTCATGCAACGTTGAAATAATTTGTTAATTTTATTCCTTATACAAGAAGCATAGCTTGTAGAACTAATGAAAAGTTTGTATGAAAGCTTCTGATTTTGAGTAGTAAAGTTAAGTACACTAAGTAGTTTGAAAGGAGAATGGGATGGTATTTTTGTTGTAACTAATAACTGGGTTGATTAACGTAGATGATTAGCTGTGAGGTCAGTGGTTTAGATTTAAGCCCTTGGAGGCTAGTATTGTATTTTTACAGAGGGAACCAATATATT